AAAAACTCGATATATCGCCCAGCCCTAATGCGATACAAAGAAAGTATCTAGACACAGCATTTCAAAGAAAACTGTCCTTTGTTACAATTCTGTATTCTTACGCTCCTTATTTTGCAAAGAGGACGATGGAAAGGCGTTTCTTTGAACGTGTTCTTCGTTTACATTAGTAATTCCTCCATACAGCAGATCCTACTATTTGTTCTCTTTATGTTCACCTTATGGTTACTTGGCAGTGATGCTTACAGGCAGTGTTTTTGAACAGAAACTGAATTTTTTATGGCTGTTTTTCGTTTACAAATCATTTTCAGGTTGCCAGTGGTTAGCATGTCCCTTTAAGCTCCAGTGACACAGTTCAGTAGTATGCTGAAGGCAAATGAAAATAGTAAACTGCAGAACAGGCAGGCGCATTTTGTTGTTTACTGAGTTTAAATAACTTTCATGTATATTAACTATTATAAAGCAACTTAGAGCCTGAAACTCTCTTTATAGCCACCTACCACTGATATATTGAACTCTCCTGTAAAAGCGTCTTTAAGTTCAAGAATCACATGGTTACATGATCATATTAAATAATTTGGTTACAATATTGACCAAAATTATAGTGTGAGGCTACCCAGTTATACTGAGTAATTCCCAAAGGTGTCAATAAATTCTGATTTCATTGAATTTTATTAATAAAAAGCCCCCAGCACAGGCTACTAACTGGGTGTAAAGAAATCTATATACCTATTACATGATCGGAGACCCGGTGCAGTCAAGGAGAAAATAGAAGAACAATATTATTGTGAAGCAACCCTCAGGACACTAACGCACAAGTGCGTGAAACCTTGTGTATGTGGTGTGATGACGGGGGGGGGCTGTTCATTTACAAGAGTGTGTGAAGTAAGACCATCAGCATTGGTGTTCTGGTGCCAACCTCTCCAAGCATTGTGAAAACATCTGGGTTTTATCCACACCTCAACAGAAGCTCATGAAAGCTTTGGTATTGTAAGTGCACTTCTGAATATTTGTCTACTAGCTTGTTCCTGCTAGGATAGAAGTTTTTGAACCTTCCTCATACTTCCAGGAGTAATCATGAGGAACCTGTGAGGAGGCAGGATACACCTTGGGAGCGCTCTCACTGGAGGAGGTGGTACTCACGAGTTAATTAATTCTCTGAGCCTCCCTGCGGCCCTCGAACAGGGAAGGACACACCACACTTCTCTCACCCAGCCCCTTCCTTCATGCTTGGTCATGCTGATGTGTTGAATGAGGCCATTTTGGGTGGAATGGCTGGTTAGTTGACATCCAAGATTTCCCCGTCTATTGAGGTGTCAACACGGAAGTCTTTTTTTTTTTAATTTTACTGTTTAATTGCACCGTAGCAGAGCGCAAATAGACGGGATCACTTCAGTCATGGCTTATTAAGACTCCAATGATTTGTTTATTTCATTCTTTGTGCCGCCTCCGATGGCAGCGCGCTCTCGTTGTACATAAACAGCGCTGCTGTCGGGGACTCGCTGACTGACAAGATGAGAGCTTAGAAGCACTTCCCAAGTGTTCCTCCACCAACCTCCCTTCACTCATTGTGACGAAAAGGAAAAATACTTTTTCAAGCTCTACCCTTGAGATATTAAGGAAACAGACAGCACAAGGAAAAAACTGCTTCAGTTTCCCTGGCAACTCCTCGCTCAATCTTGTCATTTCTTAAAGTAGGCCTTGTGAAAGGATAAGACTGTGTATGCATACTTATAAAGTGTTTTTCTTGTTCTATATTTACTATGGAGTATAAGCCCATGCACAAATTGTACTCCTAATATTATATTTCCTTTATAATCAGCCCAGCCCAGTGAAATATGCGCTGCTTATTTAAAGATATTCGTACACAGTTATATGCCAATTAATATGGTCACAGCCATGACTGTCTGCATTTTTTTGGCAGTCATTCAACATCATTCCTTTGCATCCTGCTAACTGACCTCCTGATTTTTTTGATTTATGAGGTTTTGAGGTTTTCATTTTTGGATTTGAGTCAGATGTTCCACTATTTTAGGAATGCAGTGGTGTGGATTTCAAAGGAAAATGTCAAAATCGTTATGATGGACAAAATTCGGCAAGAGTATACAGCACCCTACAGTCTTTGATGTTTTGTAGTTTTGCCTCCGTGCATCACCACAGTGAGCTGTAAGTCAGACGTGTGATTGAAGTCCAGACTTTCAACTATAATTCAAAGGATTTACAGAATGTTTGTGTAAAATGTCATTTTTATACATAGTACTTCATTTTCAGAGGTTCAAATTAATGGGATAAACTAACATAAATGTAAAATAAAATAAAAGATTCTTTTTTGCAGCTTTTGATCCAGAATCTCCTACATTTCTCCTGCAGATTTATTTTTATTGAACTCCATGCTTGCAGTTTGCATACACCAGAATAAATAGATCTCTACCAAATATGGCTGACTGCCTTCAGTAGTGTGACAGAAAATATTTTCTTCTGTGTGTGTTTGTGGACACACACACAGAAGCGTGTTTATTTAATGTGACAGGAAATATTACTAAAATTATCCTTGAGTTCTTTCAATAGTAAGTATCAAATCTCTGCCTGTAGTGCAAAGTCTAGTATTCTCCAGCATGTCGCAGTGACTGTATAAATGACTTATTAAATGAGTTATTAAATTGTGTTTAGGTCCAGAGAACCTTAAAAAGCCCTGCTGCCTAATAAAGTCTGATAGTGTATTAGTAACCCGGTTCTTTCCTGATTAAAAGCTAACTATTACAGTAAAAGGCACTTAGAGTATGTACGTACGATAGTCAAAAATATAGCAGGGACTGTTTCTCTCTCTCTCGACCTTTTTCCACACTTTTATGTCACGCATGTTTGTCTTTGCAGAAACACTCCAAAGGACAGACCCTGATGGACATGGTGTGTGAACACCTCAACTTGCTGGAGAAAGACTACTTTGGTCTGACCTTTGCCGACACAGACAGCCAGAAGGTCAGTGAGTTGTGTACCACAGTAACCTCTCAGTGCATAAACAATGCTCGCTAAACAATCTGTATTCCTCCCAGTTTTTTGCTGGCACTCTCTGGGGTGCGCTATCCATCATTCAGAGAAGAATGGAAAATGGAAATGTCCGTGCTAAAGTCGGGGCCTGGACAAAAGACATTTGAATAAGTTGTACAGTTGAAGAAGAAATGAAAATGCCTCATCTACTCTTTGCAAGATGCATATATGAAATTTAGTGATAGAAATATTTCTCAGAGGCAGAGCTGCTCCGGAGGTATAATAATTTCATGGGTTGAGTTAAATCTCCACGGGCCCCAGCTAAGAGCACAGTTGAGAAAAAATTGAAGAGCTAAAAAGAAAAGTTAGATCAAAATGACTTCAGTGACTTTGCTGTTTCTTTCATTTATGACTATGGCAAGGTGAAGAGTAATCAGGATGACTTTCTGCTTAGCTAAAGGCAAGTTTTAACTTTTCGGTCGCACAGGCTAATTAGCTAATAAAATTACCTTATTGAGTATTTTTTTTATTTGAAATTAGATACAGGAGAAAGGTTCTCAGTGTTGGTCGTCTAACCATGCATGCATTTGTTTGACTAGGTTTTTAGAAATGTATTAGGTACGCAGTAATCAGTTAAAAAGATCGATTAGCAGACTGCACTCATAAACTGCACACATATCTGCAAAATAATGCTAAGCAGCAGATTAATAAATGCTGAACTGAAGCACAACCTTCTTGACAGGCTGTACCACGCGGGACCATTTTTCTGTGAGATATTTCTGTTAAAAATGCAACAAAAGACACGAACATCACGAAGAGGGTCTAGAGGTCCAGTTCAGTCAGTTTAATTAACAGAGGTAAAGTATGGCAGACAGCTATCGGCTACAGCTGCAGGTGTCTCAACACCTGTCAATCACAGCAGCCGTTGCCTTTTATTCAGATGGATGGGTTGTAAAATATAGTTAGCAATTAACATAGGAGTCTAACGGCATTAAATCATTTCTAGATGTGCTGAATTTCAAGCCTTGATGCTGCCACTTGGTGCTGCTAAGATACAAGTAGCTGATTGCTGCGTTTAGTGATAACATAAACGAAATGTGAGTTAGAGCAGTAAATATGTACATTAGTTCAGTGCGAACTAAGACGATGAATATGAGGATTCATTTACACAGGCCTAGAGACTGATCAGCTACCTCATGGCAACATCAGTAACTCCAGTAAGAAAAGAAGGTATATTCCAGACCAGTTGGCTAGTTTTTGCTGGGTGTCACTGGGTGAAATTGGTGAGTGCTAAACGACAAAGCTCCTTGTGATTGCTCTGGTCGCTAGCAGATTGATGTGGTCGTCCACGGTTTGTTTCCTGACAGTTTCACTACCACTTAGTGAGTGTTTGCAGACGAGACAGGCCCTTCCATACAAACTACAGATGAACGCTGCTAGTAACAAACACAATCACATGGAGGGTATGAGATAGAGCACCACATCTTTGCAACCCATATCACCTAGCAAGCAAGTTTCACTGATGGTTAGCATAGAGCAGGGGTGGGCAACTCCAGGCCTCGGGGGCCGGTGTCCCTGCAGGTTTTAGATGTGTCCTTGAACCAACACAGCTGATTTAAATGGCTAAATTAGCTCTTGAAGTTCTCCAGAGGCCTGCTAACGAACTAATCATGTGATTCAGGTGTGTTGACCGAAGGTGAGATCTAAAACCTGCAGGACACCGACCCTCGGGGCCTGGAATTGCCCACCCCTGGCATAGAGTTCAATTCAATTCAATTCAATTTTATTTATATAGCGCCAAATCACAACAAAAGTCGCCTCAAGGCGCTTCATAGATACAGAGAAAAACCCAACAATCATATGACCCCCTATGAGCAAGCACTTTGGCGACAGTGGGAAGAAAAAACTCCCTTTTAACAGGAAGAAACCTCCGGCAGAACCAGGCTCAGGGAGGGGCGGCCATCTGCTGCGACCGGTTGGGGTGAGAGAAGGAAGACAGGATAAAAGACATGCTGTGGAAGAGAGACAGATATTAATAACAGATATGATTCAATGCAGAGAGGTCTATTAATACATACATACATACATACATACATACATAGACAATAGAGTGACTCTATTGCCCAAAGGAAAGAGTAATCAGAAACCACATGTATTAATAATGTTGACTGGATGTATTGTAGTGTTGTAGCCATAACAAAGAGCACTGGCTAAATACGGCAGTGCTTTTCTTTTAAAATAGCAAGACATGCATAGATCAGACACAAAATTAGCGTTTAATTTGATTACATGTTCACTAGATAGTTACTAACTTGTCCATCATTTGGTACCTTAGGGGACTTTTAAATTATTCATGACCTCACAAGTTATTAGAAAAATATTGATTATTACAGCTGAAACAGCCTCACAGAGAGATTCGTGGCATTATCTTGCTTGTTTTTGTGTAACTTGACTTTCAATTGACTTTGTCAGAATCACTTTGTTCTTTCACTCTTTTTTCCATCATCTGAGGTTTAATTATTTCCTGATAAATGGGCTCTAACATTAATCTCCAGTCAGCACACCAACCTTTTTGACATTTTGAAACGAAGGTCTGAATATGTTAGTCACGGATTGTTGTTGCTTTGTTATAAGGTGTGCGGACCAGACTTATCATATAATTGTATAATTAACACGGACCTGATGGGTCCTGGCTGTCAACTCACATGAGAGTGCTGTGTTTGATGTGGGTCTGGGGTTTTCATTGATGTCTTCCCAGAGGGTAGGTATGGGATTGCACAACAGGCTACAGAGGAACCTCCAGTCTTTTAAAGATAGGACAAGACCAAGCCCCTTTTAACATCTGGTGCGTATCCTCTGGCCCAGTCATTGGCTTGTACACAGTTTGTCAGCTCACATGCTGTGACTCGAGGTGCACGGGATGATCTTGGACCTCACAATATGACGGTCTCATCAAAGACGGCCTTATCAGGGCACAGCGTGAGCTTAGTGTTTGGGTTCAGTGCTGATTGGTCGACCAAACAAGCTTGAGAATTTAAATGTCATTTCAGATGCCCTTTCCCTGTCTCAGTTGGGGGAACAAGAACTCAATCTCCGCCCTCCAAGAGAACATTTATTCTATGTGATTTCTTTAGAAAGTAAAGTTGAAACACAAAGTGTGAAATAATGAATCAATGATGAAAAGTGTTTCCTGCTTTTCAGCACCTGACTAGTTCTCTTTACCCTTAGCTGATCGAAGGTGGATTCGTGGTGACAATCGAATGGCTACGGCTCTTTAGTCTTTAGCAGTACGATTAAACACCAGAGGAGTAACACAGGAGGCAAACTGTCAGAGATACAGTTTGCAGTTTGTCCCCGTTGACGCTACGGAGTTGCAGTGTAGTGTAACAACCCTTCATGGTTTCACTCTGATTCGTGTAGTACCAGCTGTCAAGACGACGGTCAGCATTAGGAAACAGCTGCTGTGTGGTTTTCAGGTTAGTGCAGATCGCTGTCAGCTCTCTGCATCGTGGATTGCTCAAACGCCCGTTTTTATGTCTGTGAGCATGAGGGTGGAATTTACATAACAATGGACACCCATTGCAACTAATTTTCTTTAATTAGATTTTTGCTAGTCCACTGACCTTTCCTCTAGCTCCGCTGTCAGCATCACAGTTTTGATTTCTCCTGAAACTTCTTGGTAACTGCTGATTGGTTTAAGTTTAGATGATTCTTATGAATGACTTGAGCAGCATCTTAACTTTGCTTCCACAACATCCACTGTAGACAGACTTGTTATATGTGCTGAATATAAGCTTTGAGTCTACAAACTTTGTCCAAATTCGTAGACTCCTCTGAATGCAGCCGACAAATGCGTCCTCCTTTTCCCAAGATTTGATGGATGGGTCGGGTGTATCCTTCGTGGCCATATGCCAGAATTCATAGCGTGGCCCAGCCAATTCCAGTTTCCAACGATAGCAGCAGCTACTTAGTTTTAATATTACTCTTATTAATTTTTCTGGGTCACAAAGTTAACTTTTTAAGATATTTTCAGGTGAGAATGTAGCTGTGTAAACGTCAAATATCTGCTCGGTTTATCAAGACATCACATATTTGCAAAAGTGCTCCGATGTTTTCGGAGACACCCATCAGCTTGATAGCTAGCCGGGGGTTCAAGGCTCTCCAGAGCCGGTGAGAACAGCGAACCCCCGGCACATCGTTTTCATCATTTGAGATCACAGCTGAATAAATGTCAAACGGAAAACGCATTAAACAGAAGTGTGAGATGATCGAGAATTTACGCCAGTGTCCTGTTATATTTTAGATAGAAAGGTACAGACGGCCGAGTTTATTAAACGCCACCGAGACAGCGGTGACGCAAAACTGAAGGCTAGACTGTCCAATTTCACTTTACTTCCAGTCTACCCGGCCTTCGGAGGACCTCAGGAGGATGCAGCCTATGAATTTGGACGCGGCATTTATGAGCACTGACAGTGGGAGTGTGCTAGCATGCTGTGACGAAGTTACCGACCAGCAAACATGCCTATAGACTCAGTGTGGTTCATTTTTGCATGTTTGTCAGAAATAGCCGTTTCAGATTATTTTGCATTCCTTTAACTGTTTGTGCTGTTAAATAATCTGCTGTTGATATGTAATTCAGTATATTATGGCATATAAACCTTAAATTAGCCTAAGAACAATGCAGTTGTTCTTTATAATAAAAGTGTTGCTGCAATTTTGATCTGTTGACATCGTAGTATATAAACTAGGAACCAATAAATTCATGTTTACAAAGGATACACTATGTGTTAGCTTATTTTACGTCATTTATACAACAGTGGATGCACATAGACAGGGTTCCAAATAAGGAGGTCAGTGTATGTTTAAGTGGGATTGTCTTGGAGACAAAACTCAGGCTTCATACTGCTCTAAGCCAGGTGGGCGTGCCTAACATTTGGGGACGAGACTGGTACAAACAAGTAATGTACCCAATAAGGGAAGTCAGGGGAGCTTAGTTTAGAAGTTGAGCCAAGCCGGGAACCTTTTACAAACTTTATTTATAAAAGACAAAGTGGTTTCTCACCGCAGGGATGAACTTCTTCATTTCAAGGCCAAACAAACTGCACAAGCAATTTTACTGGCTAGCAGCAATACTACTCTTACTCTAAAGTCAAATTTCCGCTTGACTCCGAGGCCTGTGCACCACAAGGTGACAAATGGTTTGTGCCTCTGTGATCCCCCGCACAGAAGCACAAACCCTGCTGAAGTCAGGGGCAGCCAGTCAGAAGATAAGCTGGCTTAAAGAGAGAAGCTGCTTATTTTAAATTTAAAAAATATACATTTTTCAGACTTTTCTGATTAGAGTATGTATCATGTATTAAAATTACAACTATGAGGTTATTTTGGTTGAATTAAATAATGGAAACAATGCATAAATAACAGCAGTAACTGGATATAAGGTCAGAAAAAAACGTCATCAGAAGCCTTGAGAAAAAAAATAAGAAAACATGACATTGAACACAGAAAACATTGCAAACCCCCAAATGGAAACAAAATCTTTATCACACAAATGCAACCAAGTGTTTGGAATAACTGATAGTGAGTCTTTCACACCACTTTTGAGGACTTTATGCCCACACTTTTGCAATCTTATCAAAGCATCACAATCAGATTGAAGAATTTTGGTTTTTTTACTCATTCAGAGGTGGTCTTGCGAGTCTGTTTTGGATCATTGTCCTGCTCTTGAGCCAGATAATCGCCTCCCTGATTGTCTAGTAGAGAGTAGGATTTGTGTTTCCAACAAGGTCCTGAAGCAAATCAGCCCTAGATCATGAGCATCACCATGCTTGCCTGCTGGCATGGTGTTCTTGGTGTTATGCCAGATGTAATGGGACTCAAACCTTCCAAAAGTTTACCTTTTTACTTGGCAGTTCACAGAATACTTTCCCAACAGTCTCTGGGATCAGTGAGATGTTGTCCAGTTGTGTTCTGTTTACTCAGCAGTCCCATTTTTGCACAGTGTTGAATCATGAACTCTGACCTCAAGGCGAGTGTGACCTGCAGTTGTTTAGATGTTGTTTTTTGTTCATTTATGACCTCCAAGATGAGTCACCAATGAACTCTTGGAGCATTTTTGGTATTATTATTGTCTAATGTTCAAATTTGTTTCACGTTCTGAAATATTTCTTTGTGACAAATATGCCAAAAAAAGAACTAAGGAGCAAATACTTTTTCACAGCAGTATACATCGTTTTTTCACACTAAGAGTACTTGTGGGAAATATTGTTACTGTCTTCCCGCTGACATCTGTCTAAACAGCATGATTTACAGCTGCTGTAACAAGTGAATTCACACAAACTCTTCAGCTAATGAAATGCTCCAACCAAATCTGAAATGGTGCCCCTGTTGGTGAACTGGTTCACTGAACAATCTGATGTTATGAGATCGCATAGGTAACTGGCTGACAGTGAGTTTGTGGCGCAGTGATAAAACACGACTGCTGTGTGTGGGTCTGAATGCCTCAGCAGGGGAGGGCTCAGTCTCTTTGTTTACCATATGGAGAGGCTTTCATAAGGAACACATGCGGCAATTAGAGTAAAATGTGACACCGGGGTGTGCATTAGCCATGTTTCCAGTCTACTCTGTGTGATTTCTGCCTTCTGTCTTTCAGAATTGGTTGGACCCCTCCAAGGAGATCAAGAAGCAGATGCGCAGTGAGTGTCTTTTCCAAGTAGCTGTAGTGGATTAATATTTTAAAATTCAATTAGCAGAGACATAAAACTAGCTTTGTTGCTCATTGTACTTGGAGTTGTCAGCTAAATTGCTAAGAAGAGCTCCAAAACTGCCTTCTAATGAACACTTTTTCCCGTTATACTGGATGTGTTTAAGCTTCCTGCTCTCAATACAATCTCTCACCAGACTCTCCGTGGCACTTTGCCTTCGCTGTCAAGTTCTACCCTCCTGACCCCTCCCAGCTCATGGAAGATATTACCAGGTAGTGTGCTGATACACACTTCTACTACATTCACAGTCATAATTCCTCTGGCTGTGCTGTCAGGTGCTTGTCAGAATTATTCAAAGGATAAATCGCTAACATGTCAGCAGTACAGATAATTTCCTTTTTTATATATTCCCACTGATGGATGTTTACATAAACACATTGTAACAATTCTCATGGCATATTTGCCCCAGTGTCAGAGCAGCCCAAATCCCTCTCTTCTTTTGAAGGATTAGCCCTGGAATGCTACTAACTGCCATGGATTAACTAGGCTGAATACTTGTTGGAGCTTGCATTGGCTCGGGCTTGTTCGACTGCCAACACTCCTTCCTCTCCTCCCCTTTTTCGTCTCATCTGACAGATACTACCTGTGTCTGCAGCTGAGGGATGACATGCTGTCAGGTCGGCTGCCGTGCTCGTTCGTCACTCACGCCCTCCTGGGCTCCTACACCGTTCAGGCCGAGCTGGGAGACTACGACCAGGATGACCACGGTGCCGACTACGTCAGCGATTTCCGCTTTGCTCCCAATCAGACGCGCGAGCTGGAGGAGAGGGTGATGGAGCTCCATCGAAACTACAAGTACATGACACGCTGTTGTTTAAATCAGACCTTTGTGTAGGGTGATCATCTGATGAGTTTTCAGTTGCATCAAAAACACTTCATCGTGCACATTGCTGATAGATGCCGTCTGTCACTGAAATGTACACAGTGTGAATCTTGCCAGTGTGATAATACCTCTCAATTCACATTGAGAGGTATTGTGTGGCATTGCTTTTTGGCATCCTCCCAAATGAAGTACTTGATGGGAGGAACTTAGAAGAGAATATATCGAGCATGTTCGAATACTGCTCCCGCTGTACACCATCCTGGTCTATTATTTAAGAAAGTCTGCAACAGTATTGTTATTATTCTGCTCTTATTCCAGGGGGATGACTCCAGCAGAGGCTGAAATGAACTTCTTGGAGAACGCAAAGAAATTGTCCATGTACGGAGTCGACCTCCATCATGCTAAGGTTGGCTATTCTGGCGTGTTTTGATTTTCAGGTGTCATGAATGCACTCCTGAATAATTTCTGTCTGTGTTTGCTGCAGGATTCTGAGGGGATTGAAATAATGCTGGGTGTCTGTGCCAATGGCCTGCTGATTTACCGTGACAGGCTGAGGATCAACCGCTTTGCCTGGCCAAAGATCCTTAAGATTTCATACAAGAGGAGCAACTTCTACATCAAGATAAGACCTGGAGAAGTACGCATTATGGTTAAGGACCGGGAGGGTCAAACATAAAGCCCGGGGGCCAGAATTGGCCCAGCGAAAGACTCCAATCCGGCCCTTTCCAGGGCTTTGGAAAAACGTTTTCCGAAGTTTTGCAGCTTTTTCAAATGAAAAATGTCTTTAAACTAACAGAAAGGGAAATTCACTCCTTTGGCCCACTTAAGATCAAAGTAGGCTGTATGTGGCCCACAATCTAAAATAAGTATGAGCATGACATGCCTGAACTAGTCTGTTTATATCACAATCAAAGGAAATGGGGCTCTTGTTCTTTAGGATCTTGGTGCACTCTTAGAACAATACATCTTCATACAAATGTGTGCATAACCAAAGGGAGATGTGAGCCTCAATTTTAAGAATTTCCTTGCTACAGCCACCATTGTGCTAGCTTTAAGTAACACAAGGACTGGAAGTATAGTTTTGTACATTTCCATAGTCTCTACTGGTTGCCTGACCCGCCCCATAAGGCCACTACAGGGCGTTTGTGCACCTGTAGCTTATGAAATAAAGCACTTAAATTCGAGAGCTTTTGAGGTGTTAGTAGATGGACGTGCCTGGCCACAATGGCAGCACACATTTGTCAGTAAAGTCCCATTGGGTGTCACTATCTTGGTGTTTTAATGAGCGAGGAGGTGATCTGGCTGACACGGCATG